GGTGCAGTGACAAAAGCAGCAAGGGCGCTGCACATTAAAAAGCATTTCAAAGTATGCCTGTTGCAGCTTTCGCAGGGAGCCATCCCATTTAAATTCTACGCCATGATTTAATTCTGAAGTTGTAACTATGTTTACAGGAAAAGCCTTTGTGAACGGTTTATCAGATATTCAGGAAGCCTTTCCTTGAAAGACTAACCTAAATGGAACCCAGCAGAAATGCAAAGTACAGTACCATGAAAACAGGTATAGAGAACTTCCAGTGTTCCTGTGTCTGGGTCTTGTCATACATTAGTAGCTTTTTTCTTACTGTAGGGACTCTATTTGACTCTTTTCCCCCATGAAAGCAACCAAAATTGTAGTATCTGCAGGATCTTCTTGCCAGTCTTTTTTGCCAAATGTTGCTGCAGGCGCACTGACAGGTTTGCTGATGGAAGAAAGTGGATTCTGTGGTGGCACCACAGAGACTCTCCAGGCTCACCTGCTGGTCTCTTCCAGCCCTTCAGCTCTTTGGAGAGCAGAGCACTGTCTGATGGCCAGCTGCAGTTTCCATGCTGCAGTTCCAGGCTGCCCTGCAGCCACGTGCATCCAAAAGCCTTCCGAGGGCTGCCCCAGGCCAGCTCTTTGGCACGTCAGCCACTCTGAGGGGGCACTCTCCTCGCTTGGGCTTGCAAGGAGAGAGCCTTAGGCACAACGCCTTCAAGGACGCTGGGCCGATGCTGACAGGAGTGAAGAAAGCGAACTCCAAATTCTGGTGAAACGGGTCTATTGGGAGGACAGGGAGACATAAAATACAAGGGAGCTAGTAGCTGAAGAAAGTGGGAAAGGGCTAACAGCAACTTATAAAGGGGGGCGGGGGCAGAGCCTGCTCTCCAACCAATGGAGGAGCAGAGGGGAGTGGAAAAGGAAAGAAGGACACTGCTGAAGGACCAATGGGGAGGGATTAGGGGAGGGATTAGGGGAGGGGCCCAGCCCCTGAACCAATCACTTGGTGCCCAGAAGAGAAGCTTCTGGATGGAGAGGATGGGTCACCGAGTGAGGGACAGGGCACCGGGTGGGACAAAACAAAGGATACAATGGTAACTGGGGTACCGGGGAAGGGACAGGGAGACTGGCAAGGATTGCCGGGGAGCAGACAACCTGGGTAGAGCCATTGCACAACCACAGGGGCGAGTGGAACAAACCAACTTACAGTATACAACTTAGCATAACTGAGAGCCTGAAAAGCAAAACACATCCCTGCTCCTTCTTGTCCTGTTGATCTTTTCCTCTCCTGGAGCTTGGAGGAGAGTGTGCCCCTATTCCTTCCATGTTTATAGTCTTTCTCCAAGTGAAGTCATGTTTGCTCTCATGTAAGACAAAGCTCCTCATCTTTCCAAGGATTCCTCCGCCTTGAAAAACTCGGGAATACCTACTGTCATCTATTGCATTCCCATTTCTATTTAATGGTGACTGAAGCACTGCAGTGTGAGATATAATTAAAGCAAATGTGCTATTTAGAGAATAACTGACAAAATTTTTGCAGCTATTGAAAAGCTTGTCTCATTAGTATTATTTTAAATCTCATTTTCACAAAATGATTTCTTCTAATCCTCACAATCTGCATAAAAAGGAATCAGCAAGCTGAAATTGAAGTATCTGCAACCTCTGCTCTTTAAGTCAGTCACAAATTAAAGAAAATAATGTCTTCTAGTGGAATAAAAACTTGCTAAAGAAATAATTTCTATCAATCTCTCCCCAATAAAGAAAAATATATACCCTTGCTTAAAAGAATACAAATAAATCTTACTAAGCAACATTTTTTTGTTTAATTTTGTCTCCATCTGATCTTGAAGTAAATGCTGATTAAAAAACTTAAGACTTCTTGCCAGATGGCAGGGGAGTATCTTTCACAAGCAGCAGAACAGCATAGCATCCAGGATATCCATGGCAAATTCAGAAGGCATTCTGTGCATGTCTGTGACCTTCCGGAGCTGCAGAGGAAGGCAGCACTGTAGGGCTTTGCCACAGAACACAACTGGTAGGAACATTAGCAACATTCTTCTACAGACTCCGCCTGCAGTGTTACTCTCTTATTTTAGCAGTTGGCAATAAAATGCTTAACTTTCTGGAAGAAAAATTGGCTCAAAGAGGAGCCAGTTGGCTCAATGCAGAGGTTTTAAAAATCTGGTGGGTTCCAAAAATCCATCCAGGGTCAACCCACTACACTGGATCAGAAGGTTGCTGATAAATTCCCTTCCTGGGGCTGTATTTGAGCAATATTCTCAGTGAGGAAAAGAATCCATGCAAATGGTAATCCTTCAAAACAGCTGAGACAGCACTGTGTGCCAGAGGGCTGAAAAAATGTGAATGAACATTCTTTGATTTACCAGCAAGGTCTGTTCCTCCAGCACAAGTATTTAATCTGCTGACAAGGAGATAAGGGACTTTGAACAGCTTAGAGACCAGCCCAACATCACAAATATGATACAAACAAGGATAACTTTGGAAGGAATTATAATGCAACAGAATGAGTATCTCCTCTGTCTCCAGCACTGTGCGTGCAGTTGTAAGTTCTTGTGTATCAGTCTGTGCAAAAATAAAATGTTGTTTTGGAGAGTAAGAAAGCTTGCATATTTCCTGACTTCATGCTAAAAAGTCTGAAATTTTCATTTTCGAGATAGGCAAAAAAATGGGGTCAGATCCAGTTTCCTCCTAATCGAAGTCTACTTGTGCTCAATTGCCTATTTCCTTTACTTCTGAACAATAACCATTAGACAGAATTAGTGAGCATAATAAGGAACCAGTTGAAGAATGTTTGCTTTCCCTCTTCAGATTCATCATTAGTGAATTGATGGTAGTTCCTTGTGATATATGAAAGATTTTCTTTGGATTTATGATTTGGTGTGAATTTACAAACAGGGTTACTTGTGGCAAGAACAAACCAGGAGAAATGTCACTGATTAAACCATGCACATTTTTGTTTCCTAGTGATTACATTCTGATAATATTTTGAAAGCTTAATGAGCTGTGGTACTTTTTTATCCTTGTAACTAGCAGAGATTTAGAACTGTGAATTAAATACATTTCTACTGAGCAGTCCAGGTCAGGGCTGACTCAGAAAAAAATAAGGAGTTTACTAACTCCAAGTGCAGTTTCTGCTGTGCAAGCTAACATGAAAACATTGCCCAGGCAATGGACACAGGAAGTTTGATACCAAGTCAACTTTTATCAGGGGAAGCAAAGTCCAATTAATAAAAATATCCTGACATATACACTTCTGTGCCTGTTGTGGTTTAATTTTAGCCAGCATCTAAGCACCACAGAGCCAATTCCTGAGAAAACTCCAGGGCTGGCTAATGACAGTAATGGGTGAAGAAAAAGCTGCCTGCACAAGCAAAGCAGAACAAGGAGTTCATTCTTCACTTCCCAGGCGGGTGTTCAGCCGTGTCCAGACAGTGGGGTCCATCTTGTGTAACAGCTCCTTGGGAAGACCAAGGAATTACTGGGCAATGCCATCCCAAACACAGCAGTCCCCCCCCTTCCTTCTTGCAGCTTTATATGCTCAGCATGATATTCTATGGCGTGGAATATCCCTGGCCAGTTTGGGTCAGCCGTCCTGGTTCTGCTCCCTCCCAGCCTGTTGTGCACCTCCTCACAGGCAGAACAGGGAACCTGGATGCCTTGATTTAGAGGAAGCACGAGTTAGCAACAACTAAACCATCAGTGTGATATCAACATTAGTCTCATGCTAAATCCAAAACCCAGCTACTAGCTACTAAAAGGAAAATTAGCTCAAACCCAGCTGGAACCAGGATAATGGCCATGGCCATAGAAGTATTGGTGGTACATTAATCAGATTTTTGCAGATGTAACCTAGTTGTCAGCTGGGAGACTCCCTCCTTCCCTATCCCAAGCTATTGACAGTGAGTGGGCTGAGGAGCAGGTGGAGATGAGGAGAAAGCATATGCTCCTCCATTTCTGCCAAAGCTTTTTCACATATTTTCTGTACTTCCACTGATCCACTGATCTGTTCAGTGGATTTTCACTCCTCCCATACTAAGCAGAGGATGGGAGCCTATGGACAAGAGGGAACTTAACAGTGCTAAAGCTGATGTGAAAGTTTTTATATCTGAAAGGCAAGGTTGTAGGAAAGACAGTGTATTTTATTAGAATAATTCATGTCATTGGAAAAAGCAGATGAGCTTTTGGGCATACAAGCTCTTCTGGGGAAGGTGTGCACACATTTTGTTGAATAATAAAAGTTTCTATCTACTGAAGTAGTGTTCATCATCCATGGTTAACTTAAACTTGCCTTTAGCAAAGAACATGAATTATTTTGAAAAGCCCTGAATAAAACTGAGAAGAATTGCATGGAAAAGTTTTTTCTTTTCACAGTCTCTGAAAGGTGGTACAAGGTGAAGATTGAAGCATGCTAGGCACTCTTTCTGCACAGGGTACACGCAGACTGTGTGTACGCTGCAGTTTGCCTCTCACAGTCCTAAGTGTGCCTTAGTTTTCACACCATGGAGCAACTCTTCCATGCAGGGTTTGCTTCAAACAGCAGATTTCTCCACTGGGATGGTTATTAGCTGCCAGTTCTAACTGGAAGTTACAGCATTGTCATTGATCCATGTTAGGATCGTACTGAGGAGCTGCTGCACTTCACAAAGGCTGTGAGATATTGATCAGGTGATAACCAGCAGCGGCTTTAGACCTGGGCCAAATCCAAGGGAACAGTCCTGATGTGAAAGGACATGTATTGTGCTCAGTGAGGCATTCTGTTGCCTGAAACTGTGGACTTAGTGATCCAGCACTAAATTAAATAGAAGCAGTCCAGTGAATATCCAGTGTTATGCAGTCACCCAGAGACATTATGATAATCCAGCACTGTGGAGACATAGACTGTGACTGAAATAATTGTGACTGTTAATTTTCAGCCTTGTTGCTAATGGACATTCCTCTCGAAGTCATTATAAAGATGGGGTGAAACATAATTTGAAAGGCAATTACTTTTATTTAACTCAAGACTGAAAGGCAAAGGAATTTATGAAGTTTGTAACTGTTTGATGTTATTTCTATAAAATGTGCTTGTTTCCATAAACAGGCACATAATATCTTCACATAGAAGTGTCAAAGGAATGAAAATCTGGCTTCATTCTTCTTTTTGAACATAACATTTTGATAACAATCTGGGTGGCTTTCTGCTCCATTTTAGTTCTTCTTCTTAAATGTCTGATGGCATACCTGGTCTTCACATGTCAGTTCCTGCAGTATTAAAACAATTAGTAAGTATACAGTGGTAGAAGTTTAATTTCGCATATATATCAGATCCCACCAAAAATTGCTACAACTGAGCCACTGCATTAAAAAACTGATTTTTATGAAATAGAGAACAGTAAGAAAAGTGCATTATATGTAACCAAACAGCAGGTATGCACTTCATGTTGCAGTAATTAGTTTTTGATACACGAATTGAACTCTAGGAAGAATAAACATGAACAATGCATTAAAATTTTGCTTTAATTCAAGGCTTTTTCATGTTCTGTTATTAAAACAATATACTGTAATAGTTTAGAATTCATGCTGCCTCAAAATTCACAAGATGCACTGAAACAAGGAAATAAATAAAAAAAGAGGAATGCTTTCAAAAGCTGATTTGCTTCAGAGGTGTGCCCAGCTGCTTCTTAGGGGCCAGAACAATGCACCATTGCTGCCCAGGGCTGCAGTGACCCCTTAAAGGCTGGCACATTGCAGTGCAGCCAGTTTGGTTGGTTCCATCAGCCAGCATTCCTCTGCCCAACAGAGCTTTGAAGGGACTGAAAAAGGTGGCCAGCAAAGGGCCAGTTCTGCAGGACATTTTCTGAAGACTGCCATAAGGACCTGCTTGGCTTTATTTCCACCAGCCTCAGCCCAAATCTTGGTGCCAGTACGTAGAACATTTTGAATGTGTGTTCAGACAGCTGGAGAAGTGCACTGGACAGGTGATTTCGGTTGGGTGGCTCTTTTTTGTTTTGAATTCCTGTCTTTGCCCTTTCAGGCAGAGAGATGGGCCCCACTGTGACTGCCCAACCAAGCAAACCTGTGAAGGAACAGGTAGCTCGCAGCAAAACTTTGGAGAGAACAGTGGGCTCTTCTCAAGAATCTCTCCATCCACCTACTGTGCCCAGCATGATAATACCCAGTATTATCATGCCCATTTTTTGATTGCTTTCCCAGGAAACTCTGCAATCATTATCATTTTGAGAAGTGTTAAAAAAATTAGTAGATGTGGCACTTTGTGATATGGGTTAATGGATATGGTGTTGTTCAGTCAAAGTTGGGACTTTGTGATCCTGGAGGTATTTTCCAACATTAATCATTCTGTGATTCTACAATACTGTTATTTTGAAATCTTTCTGCACATCACTGATTGCTGATTTCCTGCACAGGCTTTTCTGGCCTCTCTTGGATTCACCACATCTGTCTTCAGGCTACAGCTTGCTGCTTTAGGTGTTTGAATTTATTATTGAACTAAGAAAAAATAACTGCAGTGTAGGTTTTTTGTGGGATCCTCTTAAATATCCAGGAGTTTCTGATCTGTATTACAGCACAGTGTGCTAAAATTTCATATGGCTTTGCTCAGAAAAAAAAAAACCAACGAATAACATTTTTCTTGCAATCTGATTGGGTTTTTTTGGTTTGGATTTCTTTTTTCCCTTTTTTTTCTCTTTTCTTTTTTTTCCTACCAGTGATTATATAAGAATAAGATTATGTTAGAGGTGCAAGGTAACAGGAAGGGTTGAGAACTGGAGGGAAGTGGACTGGAGCAAAAAAAAACCACTGCAGGGTTATGATTTAATTGGTAGCAGGTGGACAGAAATTGAGCATTCCTGAGTTGAAACAGAGGAGAAATTTCCTTAGATTTCAGAGATCAGAACTGTCTAAAGACCTTTCTAACTAGAAAAAACCCCAAATCCTTTGAAATGGAAAACCCGAGCCTGTGCTGCAGCCTCAGTGATGTGCTGTGGGTCTGTGGAGCAGCCCTTACCAGATGCAGGATGTCTCCTTCAATCCAGTGCTTCCAGCCCCTGTTGTTCTTCTCACCCTTCTGAACACAGACCAGTTTGTCACCATCCCAGGTCACCAGGGACTGCATGAACCAGATAATTAACTCAGTTACATTAACCAGAAGTTTATGAACATATAAAAATTAGTTCAAACAATGTGAATACAGAATTACAGTTGCTTCCTATCATTCTTCAACTTCCTCATTAAAAAAAAACCAACAAAACATTTAAACAAAACCCAGATGCATTCAGGATGACAGCAGTGTGACAGAGGGAAGCTTTTGCAGTGCTTTATTGTCATTTCCATGTGTTTCTTCACATACATGAGTAACAAGTGTTCACACTAACTGGTGAACTGTTGAGTATGTTTACAGCTACTGGTGCAATATATGCAAAGTGCATTTTTTCCTTGCTGTTTAAAGCCGTTAACGAAAAAAGTTATAGGGTTTCATGAGTGAAGATTTGGAGGCTTGTACTGCAAAGTGCAGTGCTAACACCTTTTCTAGCTCTGAATAAAGTAACAAGAGGAACAGTATGTTACTGTCATCTCATACACTAAATTTGTTTGTATATTTTAATGTACTTTCTGAAATGTCTGATGGCACACCTGGTCTTCACATGTCAGTTCCTACTGTATTAAAACAATTAGTAAGAAATTTAAAGAGATGTGATCATAAGCTGGACAAAGTGGCTGGCCCTGCCTGAGCAGCCAGGTTGGACCTGGTGCTCTCAGAAGATCCCTTCCATGCTCAACCATCTCCTGGTCTGGCATAATTCAGTCTAGCAGTGGCAGACAAGGTCCTGGGTATGCTCATTCTTGTCCAGGGGCAGGATAACCCTCAGAAAAGAAAGGTTCTCTTTACAGGCTGAATTATCTGTACACAGATGTGCCAGGGTACATTCAAAGCAACTCTGCTGGAATTGTGCTGCATTTGAACCACTGTCCTTTAGGGGCATATTTAACCATGTATCACACAATTCTTTATTAGGCACCAGTTACAGTCCATGAAAGCTCAGTTATTATAAAGCTCCAAGTGTATTGGGAGCTTAATTCATTTTCTAGTCCAGCACTGGATGATTTATTTCTCTTATGAGGGAGCTTTCCATTAATAATGAGACAAAACTCATTCCATTTCAGTTAATTTCTTTCTTATTTACGGAATTTTGAAGCTACATGCTCTTTAAATTATCCATGCCCTCTTTACATTTAAATGTTGCCTACCAATTTTATTACCTTCATCTAACTTTAATGTATTTGAGGCATTGTTTTGTTAATAAAATGACCAGAAAATACTTTTAGAGCAATTCAGAAAGTAATGGCATGACATGCGTTCTTTTTCCTTCTCCCCTCTAACAAACAACATGATTTGTTTAGAAATTAATATTAGGCAAAAGTAATTAAATCAGGTAGGGTTATAAATGGATTCCTTCCTTCCTTCCTTCCTTCCTTCCTTCCTTCCTTCCTTCCTTCCTTCCTTCCTTCCTTCCTTCCTTCCTTCCTTCCTTCCTGCCTGCCTTCCTTCCTGCCTTCCTTCCTGCCTTCCTTCCTGCCTTCCTCCCTCCCTCCCTCCCTCTTTGCAGAGCAAGGCTTTTGTAGTGGTGATGAGCACTAGAGGAGCACTAATTGATGGATTTAAGGAGTGATGAAACTAATGAGTCCTTAGATCCTTAGCAATGCCTTCAAGTGATCTGAAGAGATGTGGGAGCAGTGTTTTTAAGCATAGACTTTGTTACAGGAATTCGTTCCACTCAGTGCCCATTGGAGAAGGAGACAGAAAGAAAATTTAGATATAGGGATGTTTAGGATAGTGAAAAAAAAAAGGCTCTTACTCTTTGACAGCTTGCAGTGCTGTGTATGAGAAATAGTTTGGAAGAAATCATAGGAGTTACACTGCACAAAGTTAGTTTGAGAATTAAAAGTGATCCATGGTGAACAAACCGTGTCTTCTGCTAAATTTGTGTCCCTCCAGTAAAGGATGATGTGAGTTCAAATGTAAACGTGCCCTTTATGCTGCCACTTTTCCTGTGGCAATTGCCAAAACAAACAGGCCTAGTTGACAGAGTTTTGATCTCAGCTTCTCAGAGTTTGGCAGCTGGGAACTGAGTGGCAGAATAGAGGTGTGGAGGTAGAGGAAATCAGCAGAGCTGATAACAGAGATTCAGTGAATGATGACCAAGGGAGGAAGGGGATGCTGGATTAGCAAGGCTCCAACAGGGACAGCCAATGGAAATTTCAGATCTACTGGCCTTTCTACATCTGAAAGCGTTGCTTAAGCTTTTAGGATGAGAAGAAAGTAAAACAGAGGCAATATTGATACAGAAACATGAAGCTGAATTCAGGAAGTGAATCGGTGCTCGTGTGTATTAGTTTCTTCCCTGACTTCTCTGAGAGAGCCTTGTTTGAATCCCCCAGGAACTGACTCTGCCTCAGGAGGTGGGGCAGGGGCTACAACATGGCCCTTGATACAGGGGCCCACAAATCCCCCTGAGAGGTGTCTGAACAAGTGGCCACGGCTTCCTGGGGCAGTTCTGAGCTCAGCCTACTCCAGTTATCCCCCAGGCAGTAAAGCACACACTGCTGCCCTCCTGCCCTCCTGCCCTGCCATGCTCCAGGCTTGGGCTCACATCTTTTTCTTGCCCCTTCCCAAAGCTCCCCTAAGAGTAAAAGCTGAGTGCTGGTTTATTTTTGACAATGCCCAACTGTTAAACTGCCCAGCTGAGACTGATCAGTGCAAATCCAGCCATCCCAAAATGAAAAATTCTATTGATGCAGTCCTAAATTCACAGGGATCAACCCCCAGTTTCCTTAAGGAGGATGCATAGGTAAAAATACAATTTTGCTACTTTCTAGATACATAAGGTGTATCAGAAAAGCTGGAAAAATCCTCCACTAGAAAAACCTAATTAATGATTGTCCTCATGTATCTCAGTAGCCATCCTGATTTGCATTTCTAATAAATGCCTGTAGCAGGAAAGAAAACTGTCTCAGGATGCAAATTACTTCTGCTTTATAAAAATCCTCTGATGTCTGTAAAATATTGGGGTTTTACTTAATGTAATCAGCTGATTTTGGGAACTGCAGGCTCCTGGTGGTGACTGTGGTATGAACAGACAACAGCCCTGGGTTTTTACCTTTACTGCTCGGTTATCCAGTCCTTTGGTGTGCTCCTCAAACTCCACCCCCACAGTGTAATCCAACTCATAGTTTCTGAAAGTACTCAGTGTTTTGGTTTTAAAATTGTCTCCATTTTGAACAATCTCCTTTGTTTGTTTCAAGTGTTTTGCAATCTTACGAGTTGCAAAATCAATACCTGTCAAAAACCAGAAAAGAGAGTGAAAATTCCAGTATTTGTTAAAGAAAATAAAGGCCCACAGCATTTATATTTACACATTAAAAAATAAAGTAAGTCAAACATAGTTCCACAAATGGTGCTTTTACCTGCAACATTTTTCAGAGAAAAAGATAATTTCAAATAAAAATTGTCTTGTGTTTACAAGTACACTTTCAACTTGAGGCTCTTCCACTGATTTATTTATTAATGGGATATCTGTGGGAATGTTGTGAGCATACAACATACAACCAGAAGTGAATTGATGTTGTTATGTTTAATCACCTGAATTTTTTTGAGAATGTGAAACAAGAGGGGCTGTTAAGCCTGACAGTGCCTTTTTTGCCTCACTAAAGAAGGATCTTAGAATAATAGTCCTTCTCAGAGATTTAACATGTTAGACTGGGTATGTAATCAAGAGGACCTGGGCATATTACTTTTATGATGAACCTATAGTCTGGGAGTATACAAGAGGTTAATTAATTAGCTTAAAAGAATGAAAATTATATTAATGAAAAAAGAAGCAATGAAATAAAAAGTGAAATCCATTATTGTTTGAAAGCAGATACGCAAATAAATTGCAGTTCAAAAGGAGAAACATTCAAAGTAAAAAGTAAAAAAGCGCTTTTGTGCAGAGCATTTGACAGTTTCTGTTTCATGTTCTGTCAACATTTGCTGCAGTACTGATGTCCTTGACATCCTTATTTTGTTCACAGTGAGGACTAACATGATGATGCACACAGCTGCTTGGCACTGGAAGCACTGCTGTCACCTCAGGGAGAACATCCCTGGCACCATCCCCGGCTGTCCCAGGGCCAGCAGCACCACTGTCTGCACTAAACATTTCTGACCAGCTGCCAGGGGATCTGCTGTGGTGCTGGATGCAAATGGAATCACCTCCCATGCTTCTGCAAGAGGCTGAAAGATGGGTTTGGTCTGCTGGCCCTCCTCTGGTGGTTTCACGTGGGTGTTAATCACTGCCAGCCCAGCACTGCCACTCACTAATGGGGCCCTTTTCTTCTGCTAGATTCATTATCCTACTTGGGAAGTACTAATCAAGTTGAGTAAGAGGATAGGCTTGAAGAAAATGTGACTTTTATACACGGGGAATAATGGTCTTGTTCACTATTTATATTCAAGACTTCTTGGGTATATTTTATCTGCTGTGGTGGATTAAAGGTATCTCCGGGGCTGATTTATAGCCAGGCCACATAAAATTTAGTTCTCTCTGAGGGGAAAAATGTCTAGACCTCTAAAGAAATGCTATTTCTGACTAATATATTGGTCTTGTAGCTCCTGGAGAAAAATCAGGGAGGCTTTATTAAAGCATGGTTTTCATAACTGCATTTTGAACAATACAAGCAATAAAAATGATATGTAGTTCTATTATAGTATATTTAATTACTTTGTAACATGTTTATGATAAAATCAAACTTTCTAACTTAGAGGGCAAACCTAATCTTTAATTAAAGTATTGAAATGTGTATGTATTAATTAAAAGGACAGATGAATTAAAAATACCCCTCAAAACCTGTGAGCTTTGAATCTGAGCACATTAATAGCAACAAAATGTAAAATGGAGAGAAAAAGAGCCAAAGAATATCTTTTCACCCTTTCCCTGCCATTTCTTTCTGAGAATCACCTACAGCCTATGCATCTTTGCAGTGGTTTTGGTGTTGGGTTATTTTTGCTTATTCACTGGCAATTTAAAATTACTAAAGCTGATTGTGTAGATATAAGTTATAGTTTGTATATGCACATATGCAAAAAATCACTTCAATTAATGTGTATCTTTCTGCTGAAATTCAAGACATTGCCCTAATCATTCTCATTTTCAAGCACTCTCTTGTTTTGTTCCTCACAAGTGTATATGTGTATTATTTACAGATGTCCCTGAAGTTATTGAGTTTTTTTTTCCACAAATGCAAAAGCTAAAAACCATGAATAGTGAAACTTGCCTTTCTCTCTTAAGAGAGTTAAAGCTTTGAGAAAATTGCAACTGCTTTCAATTGTTGATGAATAATGATGAGAGTTTATTTTTATGCATTTATGTATTTCTTCTATTTCAATCTGAACAGATCAATCAATTAGGATTAAGATTCTTTGGTAAAACTAGTAGAAAATCAGTTAAAGCATCAAATTTTTCATCTCTGTACCATAATTAGTTCAAATCACTAATTTAATAATGGCATTATTGTTAATTTACTGTTATAGAACATCTTGTTCCTCTTTAACCAACTTGTGGCTGCACTGTTACAGTAAGAATATACCAGGAGTAAAAAAGAGCTTTTAGATCTGAAAATCTCTTGCTTTGGGGCTTTTCCCCCACCCTGTATCTGTTATTTCATTTATCTAAACAAAGAATAACATCTTTAGCTACACATCTTCATTTGCTTTTATATTGAGATCATCACAATTTTGAAAACAATGACTTGATTTGTAATGTGATTGGCAGAAAACCTTATGCCACAATGGACATTAGTTTTTAGGAGGATTTGACTTAGAATTTAACCATTTTCTCTTGATTTAATTAATATTTTGTCATTTACCTAAAGCAACCATGTAGCCTTCAAAGTTGTCATTGGTCACCATTTCCCAGGTCCCATTGTAATCGGCAGGCATGGTGGCAGGAGCCTAAACCCAGCTTCAGCTCAGGAGGAGAGGCTGGACACAAGCTCTGCTCGGGGAATCTTTTATAAACCTTTCCAGATCTTTTTTCCACTCAGGTTTATGGCTCTGTAGATAATGCAGTTGAAGGGGCAGAGTGATAACCCTGGAAACTTTGCTTGCATTGACAAAGTTCATTTGAACAGCTGGCAGACAAGGAACTATTTCAGAAATATGGAGTAATACAGGATATGATTTTACAGTGACCTTTGTAGAGAACTGCTGGCTATTATGGGATACCTTTGAAATATATTGAACACCGTGGCAAATTGTACAACACAGTTAAAGTTTTCAAGGTGAATTGGTTTTTAGCTCCTTTCTACGTGTCACTTTTCCCTATGAATTTGAGTCTTACAGAGCTGACCCATCCACTTAAAGCTTGTGGAAGTCTTGAATGTGAAACAAATGTTAGAGCAGGAAAGAGAATACTCCTGTTCAAAATATTTTTGGCTTTGTTTGGTTTTCAATATAGCTGCCATATACCAATAGCTGTACTTATACCAACTGCACTTTCATTTTTTTTGTTTTGGTTTAAGAGCAAGTTTAGCAAATGTAAACTGAATAAAAATAAATCATAATTAGTATCAATCCTGCCCTGAAAATGATTTTGTAATTCCTCTGAAATATGTCCGTTTTTATTGGAAATCTATTTTATTCATAGCTGTGGAGAAAACATGGATTTCAGTTGTGCAGATAAGCACATTCAGAGCATGGCAGAATGGAGAATGTGCAGTCAAACTTTATTGGAACTTAAAGTAAACAATAAAAGCAAATTAATTTAATCTAAGGTTTTATGTTGTGGCTTTAATCAGACAAGATAATGTACAGATGGCTCTACAGAGACAATAACTGAAGTGACCAAAGGTAAAAAACTTGAACTCCTTGCCTTCCTCTATTTTTTTTTTTTTAAAATAGGAATATTATTTTAAAATTTGATAGAAAATGTATTAAGGTCTAGATCTTCAACTCAGAAATAAGTAAAGGGAAGATCTACTGATCTTATGATTTGTCTTCTATGCCGTTACTTTGTTAAAATGTAATGCAAAATTCCACAAATGCTGAAAATTTATACAGGGATTTTAAAAAATCCTAAAAAAAACCAAAACAAAAAACAAAGAAAGTTGAGAGTTTCTGGGAGCTGAGTTCTTAAAATGCTTCAACTTCCGGAGCTAATTTAAGACAAGGAAAAGAAGTATCCTGATCTGTGCTTGTAGGAGCCCTGAAGAGGGTTTTCAATGGGGCAGAGGACCTCAGTGCCTGGGAGCTGGAGCTGAGTTCCTGCGGGAATGCGCCCAGGAAATGCCCTGCAGCCTGGCTGGGGATGCACTGTCTGCAGAGCAGCTGATGCAGGGGAGCTGCCACCTTTACACTGGACCAGAAGAGCTTTCTGAAACCTGCCTCATCTCCAGCACAGTTTATTGGGCTGATCACATCTACTACTGATGTGTTTGCTTCCTCTGAGAAATTCCAGATGGAACTCTACGAGTGATGCCACATTGAAAGTGAAAATTAAACCCCTTTTGTCTGTAGTGTATTATGTAATACTTCTGCAACAGTTGGATTTTGCAGATTTTTGTGTACTTTGTTTCTTAGCTTCTGTGTTGCATCAATGTCAATAATACATTCTTACTATTTACACATTTTATGTACATACAAAAAGGTCCTGTAAAAATCAGAATAAATCAGATTCTACAGTCACCTCCTAGAAGCAGAGCATGTGCTAGAAGCACGAGGTGGGATATTTTAGATACTCACTGATTTCAGTTCTGACATAGTTTACTTCCTATGTAACACTCATTTTGGTGAGCTGGGGAAGAGACTGAAGCTGTATCGTGTGACCATCAGCAATTAATGTCCATTAACAATTATTAATTAATGTCCATTAATAGAGTAACAGAAGGTTCCATTGCTGCAGATATGCAGAGCTAGGCACATTCTGAGGGAATTAATTGTGACATGAATACATCCTTTGCACAAAATATCATAACTAGTTAGCAGCATGGACATATACTTGTACAGCTTTTCCCCACAGGGTTTTGGTTCTGCTCATCCCTTATAAGTTTTTTATTTTTTTCCCCCAATATTTACATTTTCCCCCAATAATTTTCCAAGCACGTGTTTATCCATCAGACTAAATTAGCATTTTGAGCCTTTTCAGGTAAAAATGTAAAAATACAACTAGGAGGTTTACAGACACTGCATTTAACCAATCAGGGAACTGGCTAAGTAGGGGATTAATAAAACATTAAATATTGATTTGACAGAGTTCTGTGATGCTTCCTGAACTTTAAGAGTGTTGCACTAAGGTCCACAAAGAGAATATTCAGTTTATGAATCAATATCTTCAGAGACAGTAGAACCTCCACCACACCCAAATGCCTGCCTAAATCACAGGGTGCCAGGGCACAGCACAGGCACTGCTTACACTATTGCCTGGAAGCCCTGGGTGGAGAGCCCCAAGCCTCAGCTCTGCCTTGCCAGTGAGACTGACCTGCCTCTCAACAAAGTTTTAAAATTTTTACTTATTATCTATTTGAAATCTTAGAAATAATTCTTTGTGTTTTGTATTTATTGTTTATGCACTCCATACACAGAGACAAAGTTTCAAAATGGCAAAACAGTATTGCCTTCCCTTGGAAAAAGTCTGCATTTGGAGAAATGCAGGTAAGGTGCCCTCTCCTAATTGCCATGACCGTCTTGTTCTCTGCACCCTTTGCTTGCAAAACTACTTGCTAAAAATGAAACACTGAGCTCTTTTTTTTTTTTTTTTTTTTACACAGGGCTAAGATTTATGGCTGAATATTGAGTTTTTGGAAATAAAGCAAAGTCAAACAAATCAACTTACTTCTGCTAAAAGCCTGAGTAACTTTTCCAGTCTTTATTTGTGTGTGAAGAAAGAAAGATGGCATTGCTTGCCTCGTTCCTGTGAGTCAGGATTGATTAGAGGCAGATTGAAAGGAAAAACTCTCATGGAAAACACCCAAATGCTGTTCGTGTGGAAGAGTCAGCAGTCATGGATGCTGCTTCCAACACTTCCAGGTCCTCCCATTGTGTCTGAGACCGGCCCAGAGAGAAATTCTGTCTGGGTAGGTGAACAAAGTTCAGCCTTTCTTGCTGTCTGAAAGAGCTGCAAGTGCATTCCCCTTGGAAAGTTCTTCTGTCAGAGCTCTATATAAAGCACAGAAGGACCAGTCAAATGGAATTTTCCCTGCAAACTTTTGGGGATGGTGTTTTGAAGAGTCTGTAACATGCTTCCCACTCTCCCCTTGCCTCATTTAATTTCTCTTTTAAATTATCCAATATGCAGATATAACACAAGAGAGAAATGCCTGGTACTCCCCCAAGCAGCCCCTACACTCCTCATGACTGACAGCTGGGACTTTGCCTGTAGTGATTTGGTTGGTGTTTAACACATGGGAACATGGCAAACTGTGTAAGTTGTTCTTAGCAGCTGAATCCCCCTGAAGGATTCCGACAGAAGCAGCATGGTCACAGACACCTATTATTATTTTTAACTTGTTAGCACATTGCACTCACTAGGTTTATTTTTATTTTTTTAGAAAATTAATCACTTGCAATGCATTCAGTGATGGCTGCTGCTGCTGCAAAAGCTGTCAGAGGTACTGCCCCACAGGCTCTGCTGTGCACGAACACCAGGAGTCACGTTCTGAACACCAGAAGTGCTCTGGAAGGAGGCAATGGGCTCCTTGTCCATGTGAGGTGTCCTACAGGACAGCTGCTGCCCAGGGACCCCACCAGGATGTGGCAGGAGCAGAGGAGAGGCGTGGACAGCAGGAGGGGACAGAATCCACAGGTTTTGTTTGCAAAAGAGGCTCAGCAAATACGCTTGGCTGGCCCATGTGGGGCTGCCTTCCCCAGCCTGGCCCGGCTCTCCCTTGGCCATCCCTGGCTGATCCCGGCCTTTCTCGCTGGCTCAGGCACACTCAGGACGGGCAAGCCCACCCCAGTGCCTTGGAGCTGGAGGTTTGGCTGTGACTCCTGGGCTTTATTGCTGTGTTCAGCCCTCCAGAGAGGGAATGGAAGGATTCTGGCCAGTTGTACATTGAGTTCTTGTTGCCCAAACACTTATTATTTGATGTCATTCCAGAGCAGAGATCTGCAGGGACAAACTTGTTGTTGACACCTAAGAGAAGGGAGAATTCCCTCATTCCCCTCTCAGAACAGGAGCTTGTCTGACACCTCATGACAAACCAGGGTGCAGACGCTGTGGGAGGATGAGGGTGTCGATGCCAGTTTGGGTTTTGCCTTTTTTTCTTTTCTCTGTTCTCCGTATCCTTCGCACATACATCTGTGGCTCTGTCACCTATTGAATTAGTGACAAGTTTTCCCAGTACTTTTCCATAGCCTTTCCCTGGGCAGAAATAAAAAACAAATTCCAGAGCTCCAAGCCCTGGGAGGTACAAGGCCCCTGTGCTGTCTTGGTTCTTCCTGGGAACCAAGGCTGAGAGCAGCTCTTGGAGATCTCTTTCATGGACAGAGCACAGCCAGTGCCCAGGGGGATCCAGAGAAGGGGCTTGACCTGGGGGGATTGCATCACCACTTGTCCTCCTAATTGGTGCTTTTATCAATGATGCCAATTTCCTAAAACCTCTAACTGTGTACTCATCTCTGTAGGGGGGGCTTTTGTGGCCATCCTTCAAAAACTGCCTCTGAAGGCCTTCAAATAAAGATCTGCTGTTACATTACTAAAATTACCTCGAGTTTCATTTCCAGGTTGGGAAAAAGCAGCAGTGTACACAGGGCACACAGAGGTCAGTTATGCCAGTTCAGCACATTTTGTGTTTACTTTCAGCTTCAACAAAGATGCACAAAATACGCTTTAAATCACTCTTAGAAATAAAGTAATTGTTTTTCAGCCATGGAGGTTTTGTCTTTTTTCAGTCATTTCCACCTCTCCTACTCCATCTGGTTTTGCTGATGGAGTTGGATGCAGATGTTACAAACATTATTAATCAAAAGCCTCCCTCCTCTCTTAACGAAGGACT